CGGTATTTAATACGAGGCTGGTAGTTTCAACGAATTATTACAAAGCCCAGAATGCATCAACTCTTTCAAAATTGGTTTAACTCCGATCCAGGTAAGTTCATATTTCAAAATTGCCCTGTTTATACCTATGTCAACAAACAAGCAAAGCTTAGGTTCTTGAGACAAATTTAAATTGGTCATTAATGAATAATTCCCACCTTTCCTCTTTAAGAGGCCGACACACAGATCACGTATTCATTACCAAATAATTAACATTTCATGAAACTTTATCACTGCCTCTAAATCCTAACAGCGTGTTTTGAGTTATATCTATACTTAACTATTTGCACCAACGTGCGTTTCGAACCTTTGATCAAATTGTGTCACTTTCCAGCCTACCCTCCATAATTTCTTGAATCTGTGTTTTCGTTTCCCATACACAACTTTAAGGTTCATCCTCTCCATTAAAAATCTCTATTTGCTCTAATCTACTCATTTATTACAAGGGATAACATCAGCATTTGGTAACCCTACTTTAGATACAAACAATTTAAGAGCTTGTAAACGTAAGTGTGGCTGAAGCCACGCTCTTCGGATGTACACGACAACATTCCTCTCTCACCTCGTTTGGTGGTATGCTTTCCATCCAAAGTTTTCAGGACAGGACTTGACAGTAAATCATCGTGCAGTAATCCAAGCCGTTTCCCCGTGGCACTGAGCTCCTGGAGCAATCTTTCGTTTACATCTGACCTTGGTGACTTTTCGTGATACTTTCCGTTTGCCAAAGGACGCTCTCTAAGAGCTTTAAGCTCCAACCGAAGTTCTCCATTTTCCTCCGCTAATTTCGACGTGAGCTTCTTCTCCTCTCTTAGCTTCCTCGAATCTTCAGTGTGTCGAACTTGAAAGCTTTTCAACAACTGTTCATGAGTGTGTCGTTCACCTGAGATTTCTTCGCGGATGTTAACAAGCTCATCGCGGAGGACTGCATTTTCCTTCTGGATATGATCAAATTCACTTATATCCTGAGTATTTGGATTCTTTGCAGCCATTTAATATTAATATGCTCTGTTGAACGTTCAGCGGGAGGACATTAATCCCTAAACTCTAAAACAAGAGAGCTTTTAACTGCCATATCGCCGAACCGACCTCACACACGGCCTCGCGGTTTGAAAGATTTGTTGACTACAAAAACGCTATCAACCTGACCAATCACAGCGTCGAATTCACTGCCGGGTCGGTGAAACCGACATTTCCTCTCAGTCTTTCGTTCTCTTCCCGAAACCGGAACGTATGGAATAAAGTCATGCAGTTTCTTTTTCAGGCTTGAAAGAATCTTTTTCCGGGTGGGGAGTTGTTTGACAACACTTTATAGCCCTGAGTATGAACATCATAGCAAATCATATTGATTTCCCAGATATGAAACCTACAATCTGCATTTCTGAACACAAACCTGAGAAAACAGATGAATTTAGAGATTATACAGAAAAGATTCACAGGTACAGAAGCATTGATTGCCATTTTATCACCTACATAATTTTCACCCGCAGCACTTCTTTGTTGAAGAGCTTCTAGAACTGCAGCCTCTGTGATTGGTCCATTAAGATGGACTAAGTCATCTGGTGGTGGACTTGTTTGATTACCACTCACTGAGTTTGAAGCCATACCCTTTGTCTTAACTGAAAGAACGAAATGAGTCCAATTCAAGACAAAATTCAAGACTTTCTTCACAAAATAGTTCTTGTTTCAAGACTAAAAGGAAAGAGTACCATATAGCCCCATACATTAATTATGCATTCCACTTCTTTGTCTTTCACGACAAAACTTTAAAAACAAAGTCTACTAGTCTGAATGCATAATTAATGTATGGGGTTATATGGTACTCTTGCCCCAACGCAGCCCCAAACAGTTTCTTTCGAAACTATCAGCCTTTGTTATTTAAGTAAATCAAATGATACCGTTAGAGGCCAGTACTTATTCTTTTGACCACTGACACCCTAACACCAGTGTGCATATTTTCCACACTGTTCTCTATACATTTACCATTGTATTGACAAGGAGCATTTGTCCGAACATCAAGAGCTTCTTAAGTGGATGGTCGCTTCCCGTATTTTCAGCAGTAATAACGTAAACAGAAATAGATGCTTGTCAGTGTTAAGGGTTAGAGGGCTAACACAGTATCTTTAGCCTGTACTATTCTCTCAATTCAAGTTCGAAAGCAGTCCTGTATTGCAATGGTTTTTCTTTACATCGTTCTGTGATTGGTCAAGTAAAGTAACAGCACTCTCTCCACCAATCAGATGCAAACTGCAACCGAGCGCAACCTGGCAACTACTCGTGCTTTCCCGCGCTTTGCCTCTCACCTTTGCGCCTCCTGAGTGGGGGTGGGTGATATGCTGTATAGCACCCCTTTGGGAGCAGTTGCCTGCCCTTGCTGCGGTTTCAAATCACTGGTGAAAAGATGCGTGGCGAAACCAAAATTACAGTTCTGAAAATAAAAAAAATAAAAAAAAATACACTCGCCGTCATATACCACTTCCACTTGTCTGTTAATCCGCGTTTTTAGTCTGATTAGGAGCCACAAAAAACAATAATTGGTGAACACGATTGGTGTGACAGAATAGCTTTATTGTCTACCGCCAGTTAATAAAAAATCAAACCATTAAAGGGAGGAAGGTAGAAATAACAAGACACATTCAGTCTTTCGCCACTTTGCATCTGGCCGCATGTCTAAATTGTGTAGAAATGTTGCTAAAGCACTAACTTATAGATTCGCGTCAAATATCTTCTCCAGGTGTGCTTATCAGCCCGGCAGTCTCAATGACATACCCGGAGAAGAAGTCACTCTGAATAAAATACCTGTCTCGAGAACACACAGATAATGTCATCAGTGATGGAGTCTCTGTTTATGTTCAAAAGAGAGCTGGCATCGTAAACGATCTACAGAGAAGCAGAACAAATGTCAGTCTGTACAGAAAAACAGACGAATAAAGGCTAAAAGTTTCTAAAGAGACTGTGGTGCTGCGTTGGTGGGGGTAACAAGGTAATTTGGTTATATCAACTAAGTTGAAATTGTAAATTGGCCACCGTAACGAATAAAAAAGCTGACGTTTCGAGCGTTAGCCCTTCGTCAGAGCGAATGGAGGAATTGTGGATTATATGTGGGTTTATATGCAAAAAGCAGACCTACGCCATTGGTGGGAACATGGCGACGAGAAAAACACGAATAAATTAGTGGAATGAAAAGCGTACAGAAAAACGTTGCGTTTAGTACGTCGCTGTCTCAGAAGACCCTTCCATAACAGGTGCCCAATCAGAAAAGAGTGAGATGACACTGCTTCGGTTTGACGACAATCTAACCCTGTAATGTTTAAAAGGAGGGAAGAANAGAACTGCAGCCTCTGTGATTGGTCCATTAAGATGGACTAAGTCATCTGGTGGTGGACTTGTTTGATTACCACTCACTGAGTTTGAAGCCATACCCTTTGTCTTAACTGAAAGAACGAAATGAGTCCAATTCAAGACAAAATTCAAGACTTTCTTCACAAAATAGTTCTTGTTTCAAGACTAAAAGGAAAGAGTACCATATAGCCCCATACATTAATTATGCATTCCACTTCTTTGTCTTTCACGACAAAACTTTAAAAACAAAGTCTACTAGTCTGAATGCATAATTAATGTATGGGGTTATATGGTACTCTTGCCGACTAAAATTTAAGCATGATTCATTGACTGTAGAACTAGCCAATCATTGTGTGCTAAAAGCACTATTCACTTGTGAGGTGTCTACTAATACTGAATATAGTGGTGATTACAGTACCTTCTCTGTGATCTGGTAACATAACTCCATTAAGCCCAATGCTTGATTTTGCTGTTAGTAGGGCTCTTAAGTTCATCAGTTCGGTGCTTAGTTTCTTTAAGGGGTCCTTCACAGCAGATCCACCTTCTACATTATTATCAAAATATAATAAGTATTACTATTGCTATCACAAAAATATTAATATTCTCCTTCAGAAGTTACAGCTTTCTAAGAATCTCTGTTGAACTTGATGAATTAACACAACTGAAGTTTTCCCATAGGACAACAAATTAGAAGCATCTGCAAATTCTCCCTCAAAATTTTCATTCCACACAGTATCAGAAAATTGTACACTTTTTAACATGTGTATGATATATTGTACTTTTATTGGCACACCAAATATGGAAAAATCCCATTACAACAACAGTGCTATTCCGTGCTTTGTTTTCCATATTCTTTTCTTCTCCATTTCTCTTTATTCCTCATTTCTGCATCCAGCTCTTTTAAGCTTTGCACCCCCTAGATCTTATCAGTAATTTTCCCTACTGCCTGCCAGACAATTCTTTTAAGTTGGTTCAGAACATGTGGTATTGGATCCATTAAAAATCCCACAGTTGATATTTTTCTTTATTCTCATGACTTGTCAGCTTGATATTATTGTGTTGATAATTTACCAGTAAAAGGTAAAACTCTGTCATGGTCACTGACATGGCAGTGCAAGGGTTAATATATTTTTCTCTTCAATTCAATGAACTCAATTTTCAATTAACCTTGTTTGATTACCACTCACGAATACATTCTTGTGGAGTTAGAATAATGCACATGTAATCACTCTGTTTTTCTTGCCTATCCACATCAACCTCTTCATAAAAATAACGTTGAAATTATCACAACATTCTTTCAATTTATGTCTGTTTCAAGTTTAATCGATTGAAATTTACCTCCGAAAAAAAAGAAAAGAAAAATGTCGCAGGTCTGGAATACAACGCTTCCCGAACTGCTCTAATTACGAACTGCTGTTGTTTAGTAGTTAATATACCTCAATCTAAATCTCATACGGTATTTAATACGAGGCTGGTAGTTTCAACGAATTATTACAAAGCCCAGAATGCATCAACTCTTTCAAAATTGGTTTAACTCCGATCCAGGTAAGTTCATATTTCAAAATTGCCCTGTTTATACCTATGTCAACAAACAAGCAAAGCTTAGGTTCTTGAGACAAAATGACTGTAACAGGCTTCGACTCACGTTTCCATTGTAGTGCGATACTCCAAAACACGAACTCTCGGGATCTGGATCGAAAAAACTGAAACAAAGGAAACATCTCAGAAAGTACAAAGTTTCTGATTGACTATTCCCGTATCGGTTTGGAATCTGACCACCCTCCATATCGAACTATACGAACACATTATATAATTTTGCTCCTCTCCTTCAAATTCTGTCCAAAATACAGTTCTTCATCATTCAAAGTTGCTATTGAACATCAATTAACCTTTTTAAACTTACCAATCGCTGTCTTTATGCTGTCCCTTTACTTTTTGTAAGAAATTCTGGTAGCTTCCTCTGTAAGAAATATTAAGCCTTGTTGATACTTTCACGACATTATCATTTCACGTACAATCTTCGCTGTAAATCCATAACTTTCCGAACAGTTCTTGATTGCGTTTGATTGACCATTAACAGTTTTTCTTTTACCATTTATTACACATAGACTGTTTTAAAAAGAACCGTTGCTCATATATTGTTGATACATATACCTTTTTACTCGTTTTCCCAGCATGATAGAAACGCGTCACTGGTTTTCCCGCCTTAGCACTAACGAGTTGGAAGGATTAATTTTTTTTGTTTTTTTGGTTTTTTCATGAATTTTCTGTTATTATTATACCTGTTTGAACAGGTTTCCACTGAGTGTCGAAAAACCAAATCCAAAGTAACCTTAGCTACCAATCAGAGCAAGGGTTTACATCATAATTAGCCAATGAGAACTCAAAGCGCGGGAGAATTGCGAATGAACAAGTCACGATTGTTTTCAGTTTACCATCTGATTGGTTGAAGGAATTTTGTGGGTTTTCTGGGCCAATCACAGAGCGGAGTTAAGTAAAACCAAAGGAATCCTAAATGTTTTTAATAACCAACTGAAAATTACTCTATACGTATACGAATGAGAAAAGTGAAAAAGACAACGATTCTGACGGGATGCAACAGACCCAGACATGCACTATTTACGGAAAGATTTTTCCAAAAAAACGGGGGTTGCAAAACGTGATCACGCCTTACCTTGCGAATAGGCTTTCTTTATCCAACATAGTCAAAATTCCAGCACGCTATAATAAAGAATCACAAGAAATCAAAACCTAACAACTTTAAAGTCTACCTACTACGGCAAGTTGTAATCATAACAGTTCTGCATATTAGATATTAAGAATTTTTTGATAGCGCGATTAACAGCTTATAGGGTGGCTTTCACTAAAGTACACTGTACATGACTACTGCTAAACAGAACAAAGGTCAACTTCAAAAGGAGCCAATGAGAACTCAAGACAGATACACGCAAATGACCACAAGCGCGGGAAAACACGGACGATCATGACACGGTTCCTCTAGGTCTTGCATCTGATTGGTTAACAAAATGGCGAGAGTTTCATGGACCAATGACAGGGAGCAGAGGGCGCTTCAAGCGTAGGAAAACGCAAACAACCAACACGCAATTTGTTTCATTTCTGCATCTAATTGGCTAGGAAAATGGCGAGAGATTCCTCGACCAATTATAGAGAGCAAAACCAATGTATTCCCGAATAGCTTTCAACATTCTTGTTAAACGTTTTGGAAATTTCTCTCAGGCTTGGATACGTACCTGGCAAGTGAGTAGCTCAATACACAGAGCGTTATCAAAATAATCCACTCCAAAATCTGAAAGAACACCTTCTTCCCTGTAGCATGAGGAGAGTTAAAAAAAAAAGCACTTATGTCAAACTTTCCTTGTATTCTCCCTCGCGAATAAATCTCGAGTAAACAAAAAAAAAACAAGTGCGAAGTAATACCTGCTGTACTCTTCTCTACTCTTGAATATGTGAGTGTTGTAGAAATGTTGTAATGTTTCAGAGCACAGATTCACGCAGAGCTGTTCCAGATGATTTACCTATGACAGAAAAAGGGGCCAAAACACAACAATGAATGGGTACCAGAATTGCTAACACGTCTATTCTGTTAGATAGATAAGGGCATGTTTCTCTAAAAAAAA